GACCTCGCCAGTCACCTCCTCCCGGCAAGTCCTTTGGGGCGGCCCTTATACGCGCAGAAATAATGGCAGACGCCGTGCAGTCTTGGTCGATGGCTGCCAAACAGGGCGACAACAGGCGCCCGCAAAACAAACCGCCCCACACGACAATGCCACAGGATGGCTGAGTTATGTTCCCAATCTTTATGTCCGTGTTATGCAAGATTTACGGCGCCGTAAATATTGGCCGTTTATTGTGCACGGTCGCTGCGGGGCGTCGCGCGCGATTTGGCGCCGACTGGTGTCCAGTGGTGGCGCCATGCGACACTGACGCGACCCCTGACCCGGGCCGGGGTCGCGGGGTCGGAACTGACCGGCCGGCTGACCTCGCCTCACCAGACACCGGCCCCAGCGGCCCCGGCGGACATCAGCACAGCGGTGGCGCCGAGCGTGACAATGTGGCAAGGCGGGCATCACACGCGGCAGGCAGAGGCGGAGCTTCCAATACAGTTGGTGGGGCGGCTGCCCCAGCAACTTGTCATTTTGCTCCACCAATAACCGTTTGCCCCATCAGCCTTTTCTGATCAGGACATTCTTGCCTTCCAAATAGATATTTGTCGCATTGAGGAGCTTTGGAATGTCTGCGCAATGTACAATATTATCTTTGTAATAATAAAAATTGATTTAGTGTAGCATTTTATTCGACTTGACAGTCAGCATTATGAATTTGACCATTTTTTCTCCACCACCTTCCATGAAGAAGCTGCTCCACCCGCAGGGACAGTCCCGCCAATCAGCTGTGATTTCAGACGCACTTCTTTTAACAGGCATAAGGCCCGGGATACTGGGGAGCGCTTTAACGTTCTGTCGTACTGCATACAGCCTTCTTAGTTGTCATTACCACATCGAAGCAACACATCATTTCGATCAAACCGCTCAATGTTTTACCGTTTTAGTAAGTTCTCTCCTCTTAACGGTATTTATTCAGCATCAGCGGCCTGCCTTGCACGGAAATCTCGCCGCATTCTATGAATTGAAACATGAATGTTCAATGCTTTATGGAAATTAATTGTCTTAGCTTAACTTCACTTTTGCTGAATGTGTATTGAAAAAACTATTTTTATAGTTAGATATCGCAGGGAAAGTAATGACCACGGCCCATTAGCCCCTTTAAATAAATACCCATGCCCCATTCATATCCGGTTTTTGAACATAGCGTCTATCGCAGTGCATGCACAGAAACGGACATCCGATATTGGTTGACTAATGACTACACTTCAGTGGTTGTCCCTTCACTTCAGTCCCCGCAGTCGCTAAGTTTCGAATAACATGCAGACTTACTTATATAGGTAAGGCAACAACACATAAAACAGCTGTAGTGGATATTGATTTTAATTTCTAGCTCGTTTCACGGGCTGATTGTCCAAAAACACTGTGTCCAACGTTGCCAAATAAACTGTTTTGGGATAGGATGTAAAATTAAGGATATCTGCTAGGTTTGAGGATTGGTATGTTTTTATAGCGGCTGCCAGTCTGTAACTGAGTGGCCATCCAGGATTAATTACTGCATGCCTGCCAGGTGGGATGGTCCCTGTTGTAGACCTGTGACTCTCAGAGTCCGTGACTCTGGGCTGCCGTCCGGGATCAGTCGAACCTGGCCGGTCCGGCCGGCCGCCGTCCACCCGCAGTGACACTTTACGGCCGCCCGTCACTGAGGACCACGGACCACGGACCGCCCCTCTGGGACCACGGACCGCCCCTCAGGGACCACGGACCACCCCCCTGGGACCACGGACCACCCCTCTGGGACCGCGGACCACCGCCCTGGGACCGCGGACCACCGCTCTGGGACCGCGGACCACCTCTCAGGGACCGCGGACCACCGCCCTGAGACCGCGGACCACCGCCGCTGACCGGACCGGACCGGCTGGTCAGCCGGCCATTGAACGGCGCCCAGCCGGCCGTCCGCTCCGTCCAGCTGCCACACAAACTGTGCTCTCAGCGCGCGTTACCTCCCCCACTGAAAGCAGAGTGTCACCACACAGCCACACTTTATGTGTCATATGTTATCCCATAAACTCGGCGCATATCTCCCACTGATGGGCGGACGGGCTGCATAAAGGGGCGGGCTGATTTCAGACGCGGACATCCACGCTCAGTGCCACGGCGGCCGTGTGAGCCATGGGCCGTCCAGCAGTGTTGCACAGTGCACACTGCGCAGTGCACAGTACACACTGAGCAGTGCACACCCTCTCCCCGGAGCTCCCCACCGACCCGTCCCCATCCCCTGAGAGCTGAACACCACCTTACGGCTCTCAGCCCAGCCTCAGCGCCCTCGGGCTGGTGCTGTCCTGAGGCTGGAGGCTGCGGCTGCCCTGAGTCTGTGCCTGCCCTGGGGCCGAGGATGCACCACCCTGGGGTTGAGGCTGCACCGTCCGCCCACGAGCCGTCCGTCAGTCGCCCGCGGCACGAGGCGATGTACCGCCGCTCGTTGTACGACCATCAGCCGGCATTACACCGAGCTGTCGGATCAGAGCCACTGGCCGCGGGCTACAGTCCCTCCCTCCCTCCCTGCACGAGCCCCGCCCGGGGCACCCAACCGGCGGGGCCGGGGCGCCGGGACAATCGGCCGAGTGCCGCCGTCAGCAGCGCCAGCCGCCGACATCATCAGAGCAATCGCCGTAATCCGGCGGCGGCGCCGCTGCCCGGGCCGCCCGGCCGGCGGCGATGGCAAATTAATTAGCGGGGCGGCCGCGCGGCAGGTGGGCGGGCGGGGCGGACCGGCCGACACACACACAGACAGACAGACGGGCACGTGCGGCCCACAATGGGCCGCGGCAAATGACCGTGCCGCGATCAGATTGGGCCGGTAAATCGCGCGGCCCTTTCCGCCCACTCGCTATGATGATGATAAACATCTCCCGGTTAGGAGCTACATTAATTAAGCACTAAACGCTTCTGACTGCACAATTAGGCGGAGCTTCCAGCCATAATTGGTTTGTTATAAGAGAGAGAATAATGATGTATGTCTGGTCACCGACATAAATTTCCATCGTCGGGACAAAGTTTGACAGAGTGGAGATTGATCCGCTGCGGATCGGCGACCCTTGCTAAGCCCTGAGGAGTGGCTGTCGGAGCGGCGCTCGCCCCCAGAGCGGCTGCGGGCTGCCGGGCGGCATCTGGCGCGCTGCTGCGGCGGCCACCTGTGCCGCGTCGCCGCCGACGAGAGGCATTGATGTGGTGCTCGGGCCGGCCGCGGAGGGCCGCCGCTCAAAGGCACTCGGCGGCCTGGAGGGCGCTCGACGCCCCACTCCACAGACTGTTACCAAATGATGGGCGCTCAGAGCCCGCGCCGGCCGCCGGGGGACTCGAGTGGCGGCGCCGTGCAACTTATCCGGCTCGATGGCCGATCGGTGCGGCCGGGACTGGGGAACGCCGCCGCTGAAACTGCTACCCCGCCACTCCACCCTGCGCATGAAGGAGACTACTACGCTGCGGGCCATGATGTCGCTGAGCCTCAGCTGAGCACTGCACCTCCAGTGAGGAGCCTCGGGCCACCTCGGAAGACCTTCGACAGACCACCTCGGACTACCTCCGAAACCTCAGACCACCTGAGGCCACCTCAGACTAACTCGAACTACCTCCGAACACCTCAGACCACCTGAGGCCACCTCAGACTATCTCGAACTACCTCCGAACACCTCAGACCACCCGAGGCCACCTCAGACCACCTGAGGCCACCTCAGACTAACTCGGACCACCTCCGAACACCTCAGACCACCTGAGGCCACCTCAGACTAACTCGAACTACCTCCGAACACCTCAGACCACCTGAGGCCACCTCAGACTAACTAAGACTACCTCCGAACACCTCAGACCACCCCGCCACCCCCTCGGCTACCCTCCGTGTCCGCGCGGCGCGGCCCACAAAGCCGCGGGTTTGGCGGCGCATTTGCGCTGTCGCCGCGCGCACGATCCGGCTGGAAAAAGGCGGCCGTCCGGGCGGGTGTCGGCGGCTGCAGAGCGCCGGCCATGTCCGGATAAGTGCACACATCCCGCCGGGCCATGCACGCTATTTACGACACCGTGTCCGGCCGGTCTCGGCGACCAGCGGCGGTGACGAAACCGCTTGCATCAGGGCCGGCTCGGAGGAGTCGGAGCTATAGCCGGCTGTCGGCCCGACACCGCCGCGGTCCAATGGACAGTATTTATCATGACGCGGTAAAGCACACGTGATAAGAGGCGCAGGAACGCCGATAAATTGGCCGCAGACGGCGTCACACTCGCCGAGCGGTGCCACGAACTGCAGCCCCGCAACGTGATTTGGTTACAAATATCGCAATAAATTAGTCGGAATTTTACTTACCAGCAACATCTCATTGAAACAACGAAAGAAATAATTAATATATTTTATAACTTTTGTCTCCAGAGTATTTGAACATAAAAGGGGGCAAATGTTGATGTAATACTTTAGCCTTGACTTTACTGGTGCTAGAATAATTTCTAGATATCTAACTAGTTATCTAAAGGAAGCTCAGCATTTAGGTAGGTACTGTAACCTACCATTGGTCAATTAAGATTTATGGGAACTACTCGCACTTTTAAAAAAGTGGATGGTGTAGCTGCGCAAGATTAACAAGACAGTTATGAAATCCAATAAATTGAATAGCCTGCTGCTCATGAGTTTTAACCTATTTTAACCGTATTGTATGTTGTTAAATTGCACCGAGTAACTATGCTAACTCTCGTACTTATGTGTGCATACAAAGGTGTATAAACGTTTAAAATACTGCATTGTAGTTTTGCATTAGCATTATTTATATCATTTGGAATAAAATAAAGGACGTACATCATGTTCTTGAGCGAACATTTCCAGGAGATATGGAATATAATAATGTAAGGTTCATGGAGAGTACGTTAGTGCAAATTCCTTGATAGGTGAACAAGTGCAAGAAGTAAGACAGTTTCGAGTTCCGGACATTCCGGTACATTCGGAGCACCGTCCAGCCCCGATCAGCACTCACCGTGACGTTGATCCCGGCTCGTCACAGCGGGGCAGGCCTCCCTCCGTCTCTGTCCCGGCCGTCTCCGGTCTCTGTCGTGTCTCCTCTGACGGTGAGTTCAGCTCAGCTCAGCACTGGCGCCCCGTGTGTCAGCGGGTGAGCTCAGCTCAGCGCCCCGTGTGTCAGCGGGTGAGCTCAGCTCAGCGCTGGCGGACCGTGTGTCAGCGGTTGAGTTCAGCTCAGCTCAGCGCTGGCGCCCCGTGTGTCAGCAGGTGAGTTCAGCTCAGCGCTGGCGCCCCGTGTGTCAGCGGTCCTGGTCGGACGGACGGCGCGCCGTCACCATGGACCGGAGTCGGGCACGCTGCTCGCCGCAGATTATATCGGCCGGTGCATTAGTGACGCGACGGCGGCTGTCGTGGCGCGTTACACGCCCGGTCGGCGCCGCGTGCCGGTAAAACACGCCGAGACGACCAAAAACCGGCGGCCGGGTCAGCGCGGGCGGCGCCGGTGCGGTCACAGTGTCCGCAGTCGGCACGGTCTCTCTGTCCGCAGTCCGCACGGGCTCTCAGCCCGCAGTCAGCACTGCCACACAGTCCACAATCGACGGTAGCTCTCTTCTATGCAGTGCGCACTCCGTTCACGACCGGCGGTCACTCTGTCCTCGGGCAGCGGCCAGTCACCGAGCGGCCGTATCCGATAGACGAGCGCTCCTGTCCCCTACTCCGCAGTCGCCTCAAGTGTCGGCGTTCGGCGCGTTCCGTACTCAGTCTAGCAGATGTATCCGGAACTGTATGGAATAATTACCGCCTCGGGACGATCTTCCATGTGCCCTCTTTGGATTAACGAGATTCAAGGAGATCTTCAGCTAAGCCTCTTGTTTACATATCTTCCGGACGTCGCCTGGATCTGGGCAAATCTTTGGCGTTATCAACTGGATCTGGGCAGGTCTCGGCGGCTGGATCTCGGATCTCGACACGATCACGGATGCACCTAGGTGAAGTCTGCAGACGACTCGGCCGCGACTGCGCCGCACCTCTCGGAGCACCTGCCGAGACTCGGCGGCGACACGAATCTCGTCCCGACTCCGGCCCGGTCTCCACCTCGCCTCGATCTCTCCTCGATTCCGCGCGGATCTCGCCGAGATAGCGTCCGGATCTGGCGCGGATCTCGGTGATCTGAGGAGCGCTCCGGTCGCCGGCCGCGCCGCAGCATCCCCTGCCGCGGTATGACACCAGAAAAGAAAGTGAAGAGCCACACGGCGGGCGGCCGCGGCGCAGAACCAGTTTGGTGCAGCCGCGACAGCGCCGCTGTCCGGCGGCGGAGGACGCGCCGTGCCGCGCGGTCACCTCGCAGCGGGGGCCGGGGGCCGGGCGGGCCGGGTCACTGTAGTAGGCCGGGGGATGCGCCGCGCGGATCGACTCGGCACGGGAGCAGGGCCGGGGGCCGGGCGGGTCGGGTCACTGTAGTACGCCGGGGGATGCGCCGCGCGGTCACCTCGGCACGGGAGCCGGGGGCCGGGCGGGTCGGGTCACTGTAGTACGCAGGGGGATGCGCCGCGTGGATCGACTCGGTGCGGGACCGGGAAGTCGGGGGCCGAGTCACTGCAGCAGTCGCAGACTAAGGATAGGGCACATCTGTCCACGGTCTGGCCTGTATTTAGGACCTCATGATCAGGGCACCACTGTGGACCACAGGCTCATGACGTCCCACCCGGCATCCCCAAAACTCCCGGCAGCAGCGCACTGATCACACAGAGACGCCCGCCGCACGGGGCGGGCGCGACCCGTGACTGGAGGGCTGTGTCGGCTGCAGGCCGTGATTGTGGCTGCCCTGCCCGGCCCGGCCCCGCGTGGCTGACGGGCGCGGGACGCGGGTGGCATGCAGGGCGGGGTGGGACAGCGGCGGACGGAGACACGCCCTCCCTCCCGACTAACTGTCGGGGACTCGGGATGGATGGGGGAGTCGGCCGGCCCCCAGCGCTGCAGCCAGCCAGCGCCCTGCAGATGCAGCTAAAACAGCACATGACACAATAGCTGCCACGAAACTAGTTGTACTGCAGCAGACTGCAGACTCTATGTTCTCTGGTTACAATTGAAGGTTGTAAGAAATTATAAACGTCGGTAGTTTCCTGTGGCAGTTAATATTACTTTGTATTTGTTCAATGGTTTACTGGTAGTCCATTGCATGTGTGCCAGTCATGCATTCAGTTGTCCAAAGAACGCAATGTTTGTACAACTGTCTGCATGCATCCTGCATGTATCAAAAACTGAAACAAGCTTCGTTCTATTTTCGCTACATTCAGCTACATACTTCTAAGTTGCCATGTGACCAAATGTGTTCGGGAGCGTCATCGTCGCGCTGATGGCTTTACTGCCCTAGCACCCCACTAACGACAGACAGAAACACTGCATCATTAGCTTCTGGGGCATCTTTACTGCCATCAATACACGGATCGTGAGGACCCCGCCTCCAAACCAGATAACCTGTAACCACCGTAGGCACTAGTGATGTCAATTTCAGAAATTTTGGAAACCAATACCAAACCGATACCGACCAAAACCACTGAGAGTATACCAAAACCGAACCGATTTTCAGAAATAGGGGGAAATACCGACTAGATACCGAAATCAGGGTATTATCAAACAAATGCTTCAAACTTTCTCAAGACATAGGTATGATAAGCCTTGAAAGGTACCTAATACTTTGAAATAAGGTTACAAAAACAAATCAGGCAATCTCTTGATTATTTGCATTGCAAAAAATACATTTATAACTTATTTTGTAACTATTAACAAATATTCAGGTCAGTTATTTTACTGGAAAGTGGATTCAAGTCAACTGCATGAGGTGTTAGGAAAATAACTTGAACCCTGAATCTTGTCCATGCCTGAACCATCAAACCTTCTTTCAATTCAAGTCATTCATTTCGAGTCCGGTCAAGACAGGGTTAAGTGTGTTATCATGATCCAAAAGTGGTGACCCAATTGACAATGATGGGCTACACCTTGTGCTACACCATTAATGTAAACAAAGCCCATGATACCTACAGTTCAGCCCAAGTAGCATGGTGATTGGTGACGATACTGACGCAGCCAATTTTTCTTCATCCACAAATGTGTAACACAACAAAACTTTATAAATAATTACTTACGAGGCACACTGATAGATAGCAGACACCACTGTAATGATATCGCGATGAAATCTTAGTAAAATGTCCAACGGAGGAATTGACACACGTCACGTGTCATCTCTTCCATAATGGCGGCCTTACAGGCGGCGGCCATTTGCATTAATGATTAAACTGTATAAAATAAAGTTTTTCTTTTCTTTTTTGCTTATAGTCCACTTGAATCAAAATTCCTTGTATAAATTTTGACATCTTAAAATTAATTCAAGAAAGTTGTAGGCCGCTTTCGCTGAAAAATGAAGTACCAGAAAAACGAGCTATACCGGTTCCTCAACCTGGCGCAGCTGCGGCATTGAAATGTTTTTAGATGTGTTCAGTTTTGAAACTGCTGTGTGCGAGTCAAGCCAAAAGCCAATTATATTTTATGAAGCTTATGATTAAATTGCTAGCGATCTGTATCTGTTGAGAGAGCAGGAAAGAGAACACTAATTGAAGAAAATAAATTATCCACAGGATCATGACAGCATCGCTCACTACAAGGCTTTTTGAAGTTGAGCGAAGTCAAAGTTGAAGATTTATGGGGTGATGCGGGTGATGATGAAGTGACAAATGCTGCCTTAAATATTAGATGATAATGGTGAAGCTAGTGCTGTATTTAACAGGGTTTTGGATAATGTAATTGCATTGCAGTAAAATGGAGAGGAAGACAAGGTCAAGGATCAATCACAGACTCCTCAAAACAAATTCAAATTTGTTGCTAATAAATGCTTTGGAAATTTTGAGAAAGGTGGTTAAAGTATGTTTTCCAGCATACAGTGAGTTAAACATTAATTCATGTTAATGTCTTGCACAATGGCTTTCTTTGTAGGATAATTATCCTCATGGTATTGGAATTTGCTAACACTGATAAGTTGCCATTTAACATTGGTAGACTGATGTATTTGATATTACAGTTGATGTGTTTGCCCATTTGTTAGGACATCATGCATTTGGGAGAAATGGGTCATGATTGCCATTTTTCTTCATCCAGTGTCATTTAGCAAAATCAAATTTGAGTTCAGAAGGTATATAAAAAATGCTTTTCAAATATTTTATGACAGTAGTTGATTTTCATGATACCGACAAAATACCAAATGCTTTTAGTATATAATACCGAATACCGAATCGGTATTGGTTCGGTATCGGTATACCGAAATATTGGTAACCGATTGACACCACTAGTAGGCACCCGATAAGGTATACGGGACGGTGTTCCCCGGCCGGCTGGCTGATGGTATCGCTGTTTGGGGCACAGCGCAGTCGGCAGATGCTGCTCCGGAGTCGGACCGGTGCCCGGCCAAAAATGCAGCCCCGTCACTCAGGCTGCGCGGACGCTGTCCTTCCCGGACGAGCCAGGTGATCACGACGGAGCTGTTTTTACGGCCGGCTGCAGCGACGTCCGCGCCTCTATGAGAAATGCGACTGGAGATAACACGAGAAAAAGGCGACGACCTGCGCTGTAACAGCGACAGTGCTCAGACGGCTGCGCGGGCCGAGCTGGGACATCAAATGGGCACCCCGCGTGATGGCAGCTGCTTGTAGCACGGCATCGGAACGGCGGATGACAGGACACTGAACATCGGCGACGGGTGTAAGGGAATGTTGTAGTGAGACTGAACTAGTCTCACTGGCGGCGAACGATCGCAGGTAACATCTCACCAAGCCCATGAACTGAGAGCGGTGACTCATGGTAAGTCATCAGTTGCAGTGGCTAACAGATCGCCCCCTCGTCCCTGGGACTATTTCTGCGTGAACCGAACTGGTAACTAGGCTCAGCGCTGCACGTTATTAGCCTCTGCCATCCCGCCAACTACTGGCTAAAGTGTGCTTTCGGGCATCCTCCTCCCAAAGGCAAGTGTGTGGAGGTCGGCTTATCAGCTTGCATACATGGGCAGCACCTGTCGGCTACCACCGCGGCGCGCCATATCACCTACGGAATCAGAGCGAAACGCGTGTACGGAATGGCGCTTAAATCCCTTGGGCACATTGAGTCGCTATAAGAAAAAAATGTAGGAACTTCATCGAGTAAGTAGTACAGTCGGTGACATTCATTCATACAAATACGAACTTCCTCGCGCTGGTGGTTGGCCTGATTTTTCCCTCGCCCAGCTGCGTTAAGGATTCTGACCCATTCCGTCCGATCGATATCAATCGATGAAAAACGCGCGCCTGCCGCTGTCACCGGACCACCCGGCGGCCGGCACATCTCTCTATTGAGCGGGCAGCAAGGTCGGCTCACCCGACCGGACCAGTCGGAGAAAAACTCTCCGTCCGGACCATCCCGTGTCAGCCCTGGCACCGGCCGCCGCCTTTTAGATCGCGCCGCCGCGCCGGCTGCCGGGGAGGGCCGTCTCTCTCCCTGCAGCGTCCGGCCGCCGGCTTTTACCACCGGTGCTCGCGGCTCCGCCAATAGGTCACTCATGTCTGGCAGCGTCGTTCGGCCTCCCCTCGGCGGCCGGTGGCCACTCTGCGCGCGCCCGGACCCGCGCGCCGCAGATGGACGCACCGATAGCCGCGCGGAGAGGGGTCACCGCACGGGCCGCCGCCATTAACGCGAAAAGCTTTAGGAGCTGTTTCGCATGATCCATTAAAAGTTGTCTCCATTTGAGCTGCCTGCCTGCACTCGAGGCAATGGCTTCGCAGCTAGGTGTAGGTGTAAAAGTCTGTTGTGCCACTTTCGGCTCGAAATGGCAGGGGCCTCGGCAAGCTTCTAATTGCTACCGACCAGATACAATCTTTACGTAATGGACACATCTTCACAAAGTGCTGTATACAACCAACAGATTTCAGTCTACAAGGGAGTGGGTAATCTGAAAGATGAATCCAACTGGAATAACAAGGAAGATATGGACAGAGTTTGACGTACGGACAGATCGGTTTGATGTTACAGTCCGTACAGTCGGAAAGATGGAGCGATTGAAGAGTGACATACGCCCACGTTACTTGAAGCCTACTGAGGTAATGTCAGTAGATCTCCCATCACACTGACCGAACTCGACAAAGCCAGAAAATTGGGCGGACCACAGGCAGCCGTCCGAGCTGTTG